ATGTAATATAGGCTGTCTTGCAATGAGCATTCATACATAGGATTTCCAGTGAAAACTAGATGTATGAGTGCTCATTGCAAGACAGCCTATATTACGTGATATACGCTGTAATGTGAACGGGGTATAACCACAGAGAACAGACGTCCAAGCTCGGCCAGAAACTTGTGTAAAGTTAAGTGGAAACGTCGCCGTATCGTAGCGCTAGCATCTCCTGATTTCCGCTATAAATTTTGCACTTTCGGTCAATTTGGCGCTAGTATCGATAAATTACCTGTTGAAAATTGCCACTTGGCGCTACCAACACTTAGTGTCTAGTGTAAGTTTTGCAACGCCAGTGCCATCATGTTGTCAAAGAGGTTTTTTAAGTGGTAAAGTGGCCGTTAGTGGCGCTTAAGTCGAATAGGAATCTTTACACAAGTTTTTAGAGAAATTTTGTTCGAGCCTCAATGTCTGTTCTCTGTGGTATAACTCCCACTGTTCGGTTGTTGATGTACTGCTGAAAATAAACTAACAGCATAACAGTCCGCATCGTGCTCTCTTGCCGTGCGGATCTATTTGCTTTTTGCTGAAGGAAGTGTTACTACTACCTAAAGCTACAACAAATTTAAACAGCACTTTTCAGTGCTCAACCTGTAAAATTTCTACCTTGTTCAACTTTATTCCTCTTCGATCCTTGTTTGGACCCTACCCGAGGTAATCCTTCTTGGATATCGATTTGGAAAATTCCTCTTCGATCCTTCAGATTCTTATAGTAATCTGCTTGGAACTCGATTTGGATAAAAATTTACTGCCGCCATGGCGCCTAAACGCAAAAGAAAGGGGCAAACTCTTGACCCCCCTTCTGAAGAAATTAATTTGAGTAATCAATTTGATTTGCTCACGGATGATGAGAATGATCCATCATCCAAGAAAAATTCTAGTAAACTTTCCCGGCTTAATGCCAAGAAGGAAAAGATTCCCCCTATTGTGATAACCACTTCCGATTTCCATGCTCTTCGCATGGAACTTTTGAACTTCGTGAAAGTTAAGTTTTCTCTACAAATTGGACGTCGGGGTGAATGCCGTGTATTGGCTGAAACCTTGGACGGATTTAAATGTCTTCTCAAGTATCTTACTGAGAAGAAGCACAAATTTTTTACTTACGACACCAAAACTGAACGTGTGTTCAAGGTTGTCATGAAAGGACTGCCCAGTGGTGAATCCCTGGATCAGATCAAAGATGAACTGGCAAAATTACTTGGAGTTGTGCCACTCCAAGTAATCAAAATGAAAATGAAATCCCGTCCTGGCGATTCGCGCAACGGAATTTCTAATGATTTTTATTTAGTTCACTTCAAGTCTAGTGAACTAAACAACCTTAAGGCCTTAGAAAAAGCTAGCCTTATGCTCCATGTCCGAGTGAAGTGGGAACACTTCAGGAAGACTGGAGGAAATTTCCAAAACCTCACTCAGTGCCGTAAGTGCCAGGGATGGGGTCACGGAACTAAAAATTGCTACATGCCAGCTAAATGCATGAATTGTGGTGATTCCTCTCACGCAAAGGACGACTGTCCTGTGAAGGAAGATCCTAAGAAATTTAAATGTTCAAATTGTGGTGAAAACCACAAATCCAATTTTTGGGAATGTAAGACTCGCAAAGCGATCCTACAATCTCGTTCTAACCTACAGGTAAGAAACGCTCCACGTTTCCGACCAGGTACAAATTCCTCTGCTGTTAACAACGGTCAGCGAGGAACAAATTCTACATTCGTACCCGTAGGTACAAATATCATCCCTGCTTCAAATGTTTCATCTGTACCTACTCCCCTCGCTGCTAACAATGTTCAGCGAGTTAATGGAGCTACCTATGCTGCTATTGCAGCGGGTAGAAATCAAAATACTAACCAAAGTAATTCTAACGGAAATTTTGACAATTTTGACTTAGGAAGCATTACTGCCCCTAAAATGGAATTTTTACAGAAATCATTAATTGACATGATTTCTGATATGCTTAAATCTAACTCCATGTTTGATGCTATTCAAACTGGAGTAAAATTTGCAAATAATATTGTCATGACTTTAAAATTCAGTAATGGATTTTAAAGCATTAAATATTGTAAATTGGAATGCTCGATCTCTTAAAGATAATGAAGACGAGCTATTTAACTTTTTGAGAGTTCATAACGTGCACATTGCCGTTATAACTAAAACGTTCCTTAAACCTGACCATAAGGTTAAAAGGGACGCAAATTGTTTAATTTATTGAAATGATCGTCTTGATGGAGCCTGTGGTGACGTTGCCATCATTGTTCATAGACGAATCAAACATAAAATTCTTTCTTCATTTGAAACCAAAGTTTTTGAAACTTTGGGAGTTTCTGTTGAAACAAAATTTGGACAACTTACGTTTATAGCTGCCTATTTGCCATTCCAATGCGTAGGCAAGAAAAAGAATTTTCTCAAGGGTGACCTCCAGAAACTTACCCGTCATAGGTCTAAATTCTTCATTATTGGTGATTTTAATGCAAAACACCGCTCATGGAATAATGCTCAAAGCAATTCCAATGGTAATATTCTGTTTGATGATTGTTCTGCAGGTTATTACACTATTCAATATCCAAACAGCCCAACATGCTTTTCTTCTGCGAGGAATCCCTCAACTATTGATTTGGTCTTAACTGATTCATGTCAACTTTGTAGCCAACTGGTTACCCATGTTGACTTCGGTTCTGATCACCTTCCAGTAACTTTTGAAATATCCCAAGAAATAATTAGTAATCCCAACAGCTCTACTTTCAATTACCATAGAGCTGATTGGGAGCAGTATCGAACATTTATGGAATATAACTTCGATCCAAACATTCCTTTGCAAACCAAAGATGAAATTAATTATGCTCTTGAATCTCTGACTACTTCTATAGTTGCAGCAAGAGCTGCCTCAGTACCAAAATGCGAGGTTAAATTCGATTCAATTATAATAGACGACGATCTTCAGCTCTTGATCCGCCTTAAAAATGTCCGTAGGAGACAATATCAAAGAACACGCGATCCTGCCATGAAGGTTATCTGGCGGGATTTGCAAAACAAATTAAAAAGCGATTCTCTGTCCTGAGGAACAAAACTTTTGAAAATAATATTTCTAAATTAGACCCGAGTTCCAAACCCTTTTGGAAACTCACAAAAATTTTGAAAAAACCTCAAAAGCCTATTCCAGTGCTTAAAGAAGGTGGTAAAATTTTGATCACAAGTTTGGAAAAAGCTCAGAAACTTGCTAAGCAATTCGAGAGTTCCCATAATTTCAGTTTGGGTCTTACTAGTCCTATTGAGAATCAGGTTGCTCGGGATTATCTGAATATTTTCTCTCGGGAAAATATTTTTGATGATTCCTGGGGGACTGATTTGGACGAAGTAAGGTCTATAACTAAAAAGTTTCAAAATATGAAAGCTCCAGGTGATGATGGAATTTTCTATATCCTCATCAAAAAACTCCCAGAGAGTACCTTGTCTTTCTTCGTAAAATTATTTAACAGATGTTTCCATTTGGCATACTTTCCTGCTAAATGGAAAAATGCAAAAGTTGTTCCAATTTTGAAGCCGGATAAAAATCCAGCTGAAGCTTCTAGCTACCGCCCAATAAGTTTGCTTTCTTCAATAAGTAAACTTTTTGAAAAGATAATTTTGAATAGAATGATGCTTCACATCAATACGAACTCAATTTTTGCAGATGAGCAGTTTGGATTTCGCCATGGGCATTCAACTACTCATCAACTCTTAAGAGTTACCAATTTAATTCGTTCAAACAAATCGGAAGGCCACTCAACTGGAGTTGCTCTTCTAGACATAGAAAAAGCATTCGACAGTGTTTGGCATGAAGGTTTGATTGCTAAATTGAAAAAGTTTAATTTTCCACTTTTTATTATGAAATTAGTTCAAAATTATTTAACTGACAGAACTCTGCAGGTAAATTATCAAAATTCCAAATCTAATCGACTACCTGTTAGAGCAGGAGTTCCTCAGGGTAGCATTCTTGGGCCTATATTGTATAACATTTTCACTTCGGACCTCCCTGATTTGCCTCAGGGTTGCCACAAATCTTTGTTCGCTGATGACACAGGCATTTCCTCTAAAGGAAGAAGTCTTCGTGTTATTTGCAGCAGACTTCAGAAAAGTTTAGATATTTTCTCTTCTTATTTACAAAAATGGAAGATTTCTCCCAACGCTTCCAAAACTCAACTTATAATATTTCCACATAAGCCCAGGGCTTTCTTTTTGAAACCTAGTAGTAGTCACATAGTCACTATGAACGGAGTTCCAATTTCCTGGTCAAACCAAGTGAAATATCTTGGATTAATACTTGACCAAAAATTAACTTTTAAAGATCACATTGAGGGCATTCAAGCTAAATGTAACAAATATATTAAATGTTTGTATCCTCTTATAAACAGGAAATCCAAACTTTGCCTGACGAATAAACTTCTAATATTTAAACAAGTTTTTAGACCGGCCATGCTTTACACTGTGCCAATATGGTCTTGTTGTTGCACTACCAGGAAAAAAGCACTTCAAAGGATTCAGAACAAAGTTCTGAAAATGATTTTGAAGTTGCCTCCCTGGTACAGTACTACCGAAGTACATAGAATTTCGAATGTTGAGACTTTAGAACAAATGTCCAACAAAATAATGAATAATTTCAGGCAAAAATCGTTGCAATCCTCAATTGCAACGATTAATTTCCTTTATACTTAGATAAGATATAGTTTATGTTTTTAGTTTTAAGATATCAATTGTTATACTGACATGCAGGTTAAAAAACCTGTTTAAAATACTGAATTGCCAAGACATGAACAATGTAAAAATACTTAGATATATATCATAACAATTAAGGCTGGTACGTTACTGCAGTAACTGGAGCACCTAGGTTAAAAAATGAAATGTAATTTATTTTGAATTTAGAACAAATAAAGAGTTAAAAAAAAAAAAAAAAAAAACTAACAGCATAACATTTTTTTTTCTATCGACAGGACTCATCTATTTCACCCGGGCATGCGAGCTTGATCAGACCCAGCATGGCTGTCGGATAGACAACGGACAATGCACCTGTGCCTTTGGTTGTAAATCAGAGTTCCGATATGCCACCCGGAAGGAGTGTCAAGATGCCCTAAAAGTATGGTTCCAATTTCCAGAAGCTGTGTCATTTACTCTGTATCTATTTGATTCCAGGGCCGATCCAATGATATCTGCAGTAGGCAACCGTGCATGAATGGTGGATCCTGCACGCAGGTCAGCGCGATGCCACAGTACAAGTGCCGCTGCGAAGGAACCGGATACTGGGGCAATCGATGTCAGCGATGTTAGTATATTTGAACGTACTCATTTTGGAAAAGAAATCAATCTTACATTACTTTCAACCTTGCAGTGTGTCCCAAGCCGGAACAAGTAACAGCTGGTACGAAATTCCCACACGAATGCGTGGTAATCTAAAAAGCATAACACCACACCGAAAGACGCCACTGTATTCGTCATGTATGTTCAACTAAAGCAATGCTCTACAAAATATTGTGAATGGAAAACTTTTTTTTGTTCAAATGAAAAGAAACACTACCAGTGATAAGGCAGGCAACACATGAAACTCTTTCTTTTCTTTCGATAATTATTTCCTACATTTGTGTCGTTCGTTTTCTGTATTGCCATGAACCGTGAGCCCGAACCGATGATGTTTGAAACCGCTTCCCAGCCCGATGGAAGCTGCCAACATCTGCTGATAAGCGGCAGACTAACTGCTATCAAGCCCAGAACAATAACAATGACGAACCGGGCGCGAATGCGTTATATTATAATATTTACGTAGGTAGTGAAAATTGTAAGATTACTAAGAAGCTTGGAATAAAAGTGTAAATAAATACATGTCGTAATTCTGAGTTGATTCGACTATTCTTATTTCACGATGGCCTTCCTACCGCGCGAGCAGCAGGTGAAGGGTTAGATTTCTATGAAAGTTTCACAACGAGCTGATTTGATTGCTTGGCATTCAATTCGTTGCATAATTCACAGTCATAGCGAGTTCCATATTAGCTGGAAAAAATACAAAAAGAAAAACGCTTCACTTACCTACTGCGCAAAGGCTACCGTCCAGCATTCTTTTCTCAACCGTCGTATGTCATGTAAGTAGGCAATAATGCAAGCAAGCACCGACCATCATCGCTCGGCCAGGGACTTTCGGATCCTGTTAGAAACATCAAAAGAACAAAGGTTTCTCCATTAGTTACTTGATTTTAGATATCTCTTTTTTGCGTTTTTATTTTCATTTTTTTCATCTTGTGTTGTTTGTTTTACCATGCGTTCACAATGTTTTTTGTTTTTTTCTTTTCTCTGCTTCTTCTTCTTTTTGTTTTTCTCTGTTTCATTCAGAATTCATACGTCGGTTTTGCGTAATTAGCCTTACAATGTTTCATTTATCTTTTACTTTTACTTGGTTACATTAGAGATTTTCGTTTAAATTACATTGTTTATTGATTTTTTTTTTCGCTTTGTTTTTTGTTTCTTTTTTCTCAATTTTTTTGGCTTGTTTTTTCGTTTCCTTTTTTGTTATTTTTTTTTGTTTGTTTTTAATTGTATTTTTTTCTTTCTTTTGCTGTTCCATTATGTGTGTTTGTGTGTGTAGTGTAGTAGCTTTTCTTGTTTGTTTTACTTTTGTCTGAATATACACGGGACAAAAATCAGAAGCGTTTCGTTACATGTTTAAAATGATTTTTTTGTTTGCTTTCACATTTCTTGTTTTTTTTTTCTTTTTTGTTGTTGTTAGTTAATTTTTGATCGGTGTGAAAAAGTTAACACTCAATGGCTTTCACATGCAATTTTTGATCCCGTAGTCTCTTGAAGTTATTTCTTTTTTCATTTTTATTTATTTTTTGTTTCCTCCATGTATGCTATGTAGTGTTTGTTCTATGATTTTCCTTTTGCGATGCGTTCTTGTTTTGTTTAATGAATGATTTCCAGCGTATGTAATTGGAGAGTGAAAATAAAACGGGAATCCTTCGGGGGGATGAATCAGAGGGAAATGGATTTATTTGTGTGTACTTGGCGTGAATGTTTTGTTGCTTTGTTCAGCAGCAGTTGTAGGCTGTGAAGGGTCTGTTGTGTAATGTTTTCTTCTTCTTGTTTCTTTGCGACTTCTTACTTGTTGCTTCTTACTCATTTCTTCTTCTTGTTTGCTTGCTTTTGTTACGAAGACTAGATCAAGTTGATGGTTAATAAAAAAAAATATATAGGGAGCTTATCAGGATGTTTGTTACTCAATAACGATAGCCTCCCTCTCGCTCATGTACCGAATTTGTTACTTGTTAGTTAGTTTCTTCACCTTTTCCTTTCTCTTGTCAATAGAATCCCTAAATTAGTTTCACCTTTTAATCACACTTATAAATAGTACGTTTACGAGTGTTCAAGCATTAACTTGTTGTATATCTGTGAGTGTGTGTTTATTCCATCAGTTTGTATGTTGCGTTTTGCTTAGCTTAGCAGAATGTGATTCTTTACTTCAGGCGAGGTTCCTTTGGACATGAAGCCATCTATTTTTCGTCTCTATTAAATTATAATTTACCACCTCTGTTCAAGATCAATGTTCCAACTAAAAACATCAACTTCATTCTTATAGGAAAAAAATAACTAAAAATTTCAACGTCGATCGAAGAGTTTCCACAAAGGGAACAACCAAATTCAACACTATTCATCATCAGCAGGGCTTATTGATCGAATGTTATTTTAAACGAAGAATTTAAAATACGAATTACGAAGCGGATCAGTGCGCACAGTGCCGATCGAAAGTGATCGAACCCAACTAAGTAAAAAACAAAAGAACGACCAAATATCAAAAATTCATTTTCCTACACATTTTCTGTCCGGAGAGGCGGCTATCGATGTGGGGTAAGCAGACATTATAAGTTACGTTTGTTTTGTTTTTCCGTTTTTCTAGCTTTGTATAATAGGTAATTCGAGGGTAAATTCTAAAAGACAGGAGAGACACATTGAAAAAGTGTGGGCAATAACAGTCTGAAGATTTCCGATTATTTTTTTGTTTCTTCTCTCGAAAGAAATAGGTTTTGGTATTCTTTACTTGTATTGTTTTACTTGTGTTACATTTAGCGATTCTCGTAGAACGATGAATTAGATTCATGTCTTAATGGTTGCTTGCATTAATAATTATTACTCTCTAGGTTAATGATGTATCTCTTACCGCGTGTTACGGCTCATTCGCGTATGCTTTCCTTTTATTCTGTTTTCTTTTCTTCTGTTTTCCTTCATATTTTGTTTGCTTTAGGTTATATTCGTACTGAAAAGTAGTAAACCACTCGTGCGAGTGAAAAACACAATGTCTTAACTGATACAGCTAAAAAAAAATGACGAAAAAAACAATCAAGAACGGTACGCGCACGAGTGGGCAAAAACGCTCGAATGTTTTACGTGTAAAAATCATCATTTCAAAACTAACTCTCTCTCTCTGTCACAGAGCAAAAATATACAAATGTGTTTGTATGTGTATGTTTTAGAAACAATAGCGATAACAAATTTGCGTAATTACTGCGACAATACAAAGACAGACTACGACGGGTAATAAAAACAGTAAATAGAACGGTTTTTGCTGTTTGTTTGCTTGGTTATTTTCGTTCGCAGTTTCAGCGTTACATTGTAGGTGTGTATATTTTTTGTTTTGTAAAACATCCATGACTTTATTAATGTTTGTTTTGATTATTATTACACTTTTCTGCTTGTTTCAGTAGTAAGATGCGATTTTACCAATGCTCTTTCGTTTCCGCTCATGCCGCGCTAGTTACATAATGTTGTTTTTGTTTTCTACTCTTTCTTTCGTAATTGTTTCCTTTTCTACTCTTTTTTTCACATTTGTTTCTTTGTATATATGTATGTGTGTGTGTGTTTGTTTTTACTTGTGTATATATGCGGCGTATTGTTTCATTTCACTTTGTTTTGTTACTTTTTTGTTGTTTGTTTCCTTCTTTTTCGTTTATAAATAATAATCACTTAGCGTTTACGTTTCACAATTATATAGGTTGCAATAAAAAGATTTGTTTAAATAATTTAAATAATAAATCATTAAAAAAAAATAAAACAAAAAAACTATAGCGTTATTATGAGTTAATAATAGTGTAAAGTGTTCATTCCAAGCAAATTCCTGAAACGAGATGAATAAAGAATGGTGTTATAAGATCAGTTTTAACTCATTCAAATTAATTAAATTTTATTACCAGCCGATGCTGGTAAAACTGGAGAACAATGATACTCTGTGGGCCAGGGAAATGGAGAACGTTTCCAATCCGAAACATTTCCTCGTTTGGACCGGGAATCAAACCCACCGCCTTCAGCTTGACAATACCGTGCCTTTTACTGATTAGGCTATCTGAGGCCCTATGTGTTTGAAGCAGGCCTGAACATACTCATTACAGCTAAAATACTACTTTTCAAAATTATGAACCTATGAGATATTATAATAATAATTTTTATATGTAAGATGAAAGTAAACAAGGTAAAGTTTCATAATTTCGAAAAGTAGTATTTTAGCTATAATGAGTGTCTGCGAATGATGTGATCGATTCGTATGGATGCAGCCAGGTCGAGTGATCGCACTGTATCACTTGAGGAGCCATGTCGGAGTAAGGCGAGAACCATACGGGCACTCATCGGTTAGAATGATTTCGCCTCAACCCATACTACTGCAAGGAAGAGAACCGAGATCCAACGACGATAAACAGAGAGAATCAGTCTGCTTCTACCACAGCTCGCGAACGGTCAACGGAGGGCGAACCTCCGCACGTATCAATACAAATAAATGCTCGATGTGAAATAGCGTAAATATATGTCTTGTAGTTTTTCGTTCAAATAAAGTGTAATTAATTGTAACCGGTGTTAACGTGCATTGTGCCCCGAAGAAGTCCCCGAATTGTGCCCCGTAGAGTGTAATCCGGAACTCCAGGGATTGTTCAGCCAATGCCAGCGAAGTACCACCAACAGCAAACAGCTGGTCCAGCGATGCGACAAGGTCACCCAAGGACGACCAACGAAGGTATCCCAACAATGAGTATGTTCAGGCATGGTTTGAAGCACCTGTCAGAAATCTCACTTCGCGCAACAATTATTGTTTGAAACTAGCATCACTTTTCGACAGTTGGGTTCTTTAAGGGTATTGAGGTAAATGCATCTGTGTAATCTGCATTAAAAGTACCCGGCCAAACATCGCATCTCTGAGGGTTGTAAAGAAAGACCAGACAGTCAACGACATAGTATCTTTCTACGTGTTGGATCATAGCAATCACTGGAACACTATATAAACGGTGCAATTGACAAGTATTTCATTTTCATTTTCATTTTGCAGCGTTTGGTGGGGCAATGAAAGCGCAAGTCAATCCAAAGCCGAGGATAAAGGACGGGTAATGGCTGAATAGTCTATGCGGACCACTTGAACGCCATGGGAAAAGGAAGGGATTGAAGAAGCCGGTTATTGGGGGGTTTTGAGGAAATGACACATAGTGATGCTAAATGTAAAGAAACCGAAAATCCATCTCCCACTGATTCATCCTTTCACATATATACCAAATCGATATTTTAAAGCAATACTCAAAATAAACAGACAATACATGAAAAGGCTAGTTGCCAGTTGCTTTAAAGGCTAGTTGCCTCCCTAAGCGGACCCTCCGCATCCTAACTCTTCTGTTAATCCACTTAATGCTACTAGGCTGTCTAATTTTTATTATTTAAGTTCGTTTGATGATTATGATATCTCTAGTCTAATTTAATCAATAATTGAAATCTCTAATCTACCTACCATGCTTTATTAAGTACCTGCACTTGTGAATGTAATCTAAAATTTAACGTGTTTCAAGTTGTTTTTGACTTTGACCTATATTTAATATATATTAGTTCGTCCCAGGTGACACCTTCATGTGACTAAAATGCTTCATTTTGAAGTTAGTTTCCTAGCTGATTTTTAAATTACATAGGGTATATGCTCCAACTATGCTCACACGCTTCCACTATGTCGCACCACAAAAATACGTATGAGTATGTCACAATAGAAGCACGCCACAGTGGAAATCCCGAGCCATAGTTCAAACACTTATCCCAAATCAAAATGAAGCACATATAAGATTAGTTGCAATACCATGTACAACAATGGTGTTTAACATTGTTCCCTGAGTAATACCTCAATGAAAACAACAACGAATGCTTGTCACGCAAGTAGGAGGAGCATTGTTGGGCAATTTCTGAAATATTTCAATAGTATAATTCCCTTGCAAACCCAAATAAATCTATCTGCGTAAAAATTAATAAAATAAGAGTGATTTGCGGCAAAACCCGCCAGTATCGCACCCAACGTCAGTGCCTATACGTAAGCGTACTACAACGCGGCTTTCAACTAAAGGAGTAACAAGTGTGATACTATCACTTCAGGCTAGAACTTTGGTTCTCTTATGCAATGGTTCATCAGAAAGTAATCCTCAGTAATCCTCATCGCATGCTCATGACGCTATTCTGTCACGGCATGAGCCAACGATGCCGGACCTAAACCAACCGTCTCCAACGCTCCACTATGAAGCATAAGATTAGGCCCGCCCACCAACGTCCAGTTCAAAAAACAAGCCAAGGGGAGGGTATAAACGGTGCAATTGACAAGTATTGATGGAATATACGTTAGACCCTGAATAAAGAAACATCTCTAGTATTTATCAAGCTATCTTTCTATTCCGGAACTACTTTCCGCACACATCAATTTGGCGACGAGGATTCCAGAATTCAGAAGCGATGGCAGAACTTCAGGAAGCAATTCTACAGATGGCAGCGCTCCTACAGAAGTTATCGGAACCCAACCAAGTTCATAGAAACCCACAGCAAATACTCGAGGCCTTGGAAACGAACATCAGCGAATTTTCGTTCGATCCGGAAAATAGAATCACCTTCGAGAAGTGGTACAGCCGGTATGCGGATCGTTTCGATTCGGATGCCAAGAACCTAGAAGATGCCGCCAAGATCCAATTGCTGCTGAAGAAGTTGGATACACCGTCACACACCTGGTACACCAACTAAGTACATCCTGCCGAAGCATTCAAAAGACTTCAATTTTGCTGACACAGTCGAAACCCTCAAGAAGATCTTCGGATCACAAACCTCCATCTTCAACAAGCGATATCAGTGCCTACAGCTGGTGAAATCTGAAGCAGAAGACATCATCAGCTACGGTGTTTGTCTGCGGTCTCAATAGCCATTGCTATGCAGACATACGAGCCAGGCTACGCTGCCGGATCGAAGCTGAAACACCAGAAGCTCCCGTAACACTCCAACACGTCAATCTCAAGGCGGACACATCCATGATCGAGCGTCAGTCAAGCTCGAAACCAACGGTGCACACAGTTCAGGAGAAGAAGGGAACCTCTCGACAACAACAGGCTTCGAAGACGGAAGGTAAGTAAATCGCCTCGCACACCTTGTTGGCAATGCGGCCATATGCACTATGTTCGGGATTGTCCATTCTCGAATCTTCAGTGTAAGTAGAGCAACCGTATCGGCCACAAGGTTGGCTACTGTGGCTGCTTTTCCGAACCAAAATCCGTTCAAGCTGGGGAGGAAAAGAAATCATCGAATAAATCAACATTCATCAACGGCGTGGAAACCAAGCTACGACTGGATACAGCGAGCGACATCACGGTAATCTCGAAGCAAACCTGGAACTATCTGGGCAAACCTGCAATCAAGAAACCAACCATTGAAGCAATGAACGCGTCAGGCAAGCCGCTCCATTTGATGGGTGAGTTCGAGTGCGAAATGAGAATCAACGGCAAAACTGCACAAGGAAGATGCTTCGTCACAACAACGGCTGCTAATCTGAACCTGCTAGGCATCGACTGGATCGAACTTTTCGAGCCAACCAAGTGAAGACAGACCCAATCGATCAGCAAGTACGTGAATTCCAGGCCAAGCACGCAGATGTGTTCAACCACTAGGACATTGCAATAAGCTAAAGGTAAAGCTTTGCCTCGAACCTAATGCTCAACCTGTTTTCTGTCCCAAGCGGCCCGTTCCTTTCATAACAATTCCATTGATCGATGCAGAAATTACACGGTTGGAATCATTGGGTATCATCGAGCCTATCGATTTCTCTGAGTGGGCTGCTCCAATCGTGGCTGTACGTAAATCAAACGGCCGGGTACGTATCTATGCGGACTATTCAACAGGACTCAACGCGGCGTTAGAAGCTAATCACTACCCGTTTCCCACTCCGGAGGAAATTTTCGCCCAACTCAATGACAGTTCCGTATTCAGCATAATCGATCTCTCCGATGCATACTTGCAGCTCGAGGTAGATGACGATTCAAAAAAGCTGCTCACCATCAATACGCAGCGGGGTTTATTCCGGTTCAATCGCCTCGCTCCAGGGGTGAAGTCTGCATCGGGAGCGTTTCAACGACTGGTTGATGGAATGATTGCGGGAATACCTGGCATCCGCTCTTTCATCGACGATGCCATAGTATTCGGCCGGGACTTGGAGTCGCATGCAGCATCACTCAACCAGTTTTTCCTACGTCTCAAGTGCGGAACATAGAGTTGGTAAGGATGATAATGATTAAAAAATATAAGTTGAGTCATGTAACGAAACGCTTAAATTGGTGAAAACCAATTCATCGTGCATGTGAACAAAATCTCATTACCATTGCTTTGTGAGGAGAAATCTCAAAACAGCTAGCAGCGCTGTGTAAAAGACGAGGTAAAATATGGGATATTCCTTCGGTATAAATATGGGCTACCTAAGCTTGCAGAAGGTGGCTCATGATTCTCTGCTTGAACGTCAAGCAGTACAGTTCGGTCTTTGCTCGCTCTGTCGAGTTGTTCTAAAGTTTTTAGTTTGTTCCAAACATTCGCAGTTTAATCGCGTCGTCAGTAGTGTCGGTCGCTTCGTGTGATGGGAAGACAGCGCTCCCGGAGCAGGCTCCGAGAGAAAACGGAGAAGAAGAACAGCGGTGAGGGTAGCTTGAGTGTACCTATTTCGAATAGGTACGCTACTCTTCCCACCGATGTAGGGAATCCCACCTCAGCCACGGTGAAGCGGTCTAAGAAGAGGAAGAAAAATCAATGCCAGTCCGATGGTGCGAGTGGACGGGACGATGCCACCGCGACGAACGTCAG